TTGCATGAATGCAAAATGCTTGCTAAAATTACATTACGATTTCTCTGTTTAATCAATTCTGTTTTTAGTGCTCTACTTGATACTTATGAAAAAGAGGGAAAGATAAAAGAAGAGAAGTCGAGTTGATTGTTGCTCGCACCAAGGATATGTTTGATGGTGGTTGATGCCAAAGAACTACAAATGAACAAATTTGGTGTACTAGTATTGGTGAAATAAATATTTAAAATAATTACCAAGTTCTACGTTCTTTTCCGTCCTAATAATTTGGTAGTAAAGAGTGATTTTATTCCTAGGTGAAAAGGCGCACACATGGCTGGAAGTATTGAAGCACATAGCCATCAAAGTTCTTATGGAGACTATGGACTCAGATTGGGTTGAATGGTGAAAGGGATTACAAGTAGGCGACACCAGTTGACACATGACAAGGGAGGTCTTGTTTAGGGGATTTTAGGAAAGCTATCTTCAGGTCAAATGGGTTAAAAACTTGTGGTTGTAAGATATTAGATAGTGTTTTGAAGAGTAGATGGATTACGGTTTTAAAGACAGAAAACCTCAATATCATAACAGCCCTGAAGGATACTAATCATGATCTGAACTATAGTTAAAGACAGAAAGATCTGGCTTTGTGTGCCCTTCATCCCAATCAATTGGACTTGAGGCTAGGAGATTTGAGTTTGCCTTTGTGTATTATTTGGAGCCTCAAGCCTAGACATTATATATTGAGGGTCAAACAACATTACGGATGAGCACATTGATGTGAAGATTCCATTAATGCATTCAACTAAAAGATCAAGTTTACCATTCAAAAGTAAAACACTTACAGATCAGGTTTTCCAGACTGAATTCGGCTGTCATTTGTTTGTCTTCAGTAGCCTATTGCCATTAAAGGCCCTGGGTTACTGACAGCAATCCATATTTTCAAATGGTCAATTCCTATCTCAACCAGTATTACTCATTCAGTAAAAACATATAATTTCATTGCAAATTATTTAACATAAGACATACAATTAAAGTTTAGATTAGCATTTCCATTCCCTATAATAAATTGTGCTTATCCAACAGAGTCAAATACTTTACCTTGTCATTTACCCAAAAAAAAAAAAGGTAATTTATAGCAAATCTTGCTTCAATGCTCTGTTTTCAGGTTGCAGCTATCAGTGTTATTGGCAACATAGCAGTTGATTTTACTATGCGTAGGTCATTATTTGTACAGTGTGGAGGTGTGAAACAGCTTGTCCAGTTATCAAAATCAATGGATTCAACTGTGAGGTTAAATGCTTTATGGGCTTTGAGGAACATGATGTTCCTTGCAGACAATGTGTTTAAAGAAGGGATCTTCATGGAGTTCACAGCTTCATCATTAGCAAGTGTCATCTGTGGTAATGTGATGGTTTATTGGTGGCAGTTCAAAGTTTTTCTTTTAAAAAGTTTCTTACTATGGTAATGGTCTAGTTATGAACATAAACCATTGCTTAAATGTATTTGCACCTGCAGACCCTGAACCTTTTGTCCAGGAGCAGGCTCTGGCACTTATTCGCAATCTAGTTGATGGATGTATAAAGTCTGTTGATCTTGTGTTTACTGAAGATGGTATGATATTAGATGCTGTTGGGAGGCAGTTGCAGAATGCTTCAACAGATGAAATTTGGATACAGGTTAGAAGTTTTTCTATAGAATGGTGTCAGAAAATAGCAATTTAATAGGGACCTTTGGTGACATGCAGTCATATCAGTTCTTTATTCTGATATTTCATTCCTGATTGCAAGTTTGTTTATAATATATGTTAACTAAGCTGACTTCATGGGTTATAATTGGGCGAAAAGTTTTGTAGCAATTAATGGTGGGCCAATTAGTTGCTTTTCATGGATTAGAATGCAGCCAGATTCTTTAGCTAAATTGACATCATCTCCATCTTTAATATGGATTATAATTAGGTGAAAGGTTTTATACTTTATTCTGATGGAATATCTACATTACCAAAGTGTTTACTTTCTCACGATAAAGTAAGGGGATTTTAGCAGTAGGCCCCAAAAGGCAACACTTTTTAGCAATAAACCCCTACTTTTGTTTTATTTATCTTTAAGTCCTCAAAATTTTTTTGTTTAGCTTTAAGCCTTCAATTTCTGGGTGAGAAGTTTATTAAATAGCCCCATTTAGAGCTTAAGAATGAATAGAATTTTTTGAGCTTAAGAATGAATAATAACTTCCCCTAAGATTGGGTTTAAATATGAAGAAGAAAGGAGTGGGTGAGCAGTTGTAATAGTTGATCTTCTTGTTTCTATTATAAATCTTTTACTTTATAGTAGGGTTTCAAAATCTTTTTCATATAGGGAATGCATGTGCTCAGTAATGTTGCAAGTGGGACTGAATTTCACAAGGAAGCAGTTATGCATCAACTCATCCCACAAGAAGACAATGGGACACAATCTTTTATTCTCAAGTTTTTGCAGAGTAATGAAAGCCAGTTACGTACAGCTGCAGTGTGGGCCATTGTGAATCTTACTTTTCCATCAAGTCCTGGTTCATTTAGCCGGCTTGTAAAACTACACAGTGCTGGCATAGTTTCTCAAATAAAGAGCATGGTCCATGATCCTTGCCCAGACGTGAAGGTTGCTATCTTATATCCCAAATTTGTTATTTGTTCATTGTTTATGATAAACTGCTAAATCTTATCCGTTTCATTTGATGGCACAGCTTCGAGTAAGAACAGCACTTGGGCAATTTACGACCTTTGGTGATTGCTCAACATGATTTTCCTACGCTTGAACCACTGGCAAAGAAAAGGAGTAATGATGAAGTTGTACTAGTTTTGACCTCATTGAATGTTCAGCCTTTCAATTATGGCTTACAACCACATGGTAAGCTTCTCTGAAAATGAGATATGTCTTTCTTGTTTTAATACGAAACTATTCCTATTTTATTTGAAGCCAAGTTGTGTCTTGTATGGTAATTATAATGGACTAGTGGCAATATATTAGGGTTTCATTTAAAGTACGAAGGGTTGTATTGAAGGAAATTTAGTGAAACTAATAGTTTTACTTGTACCAGTGCTTGAGATTGTACCTTCGTCCAGAATTGTATGCACCTTGCTAAAATAATTTTGCGCTTATACATAACCCTACCATTATTCTCTAATAACTTCTATCTTCTGAGAATAATGGCTGCCACTACTTGTCATGAGATGCTAATATATTTTGAAGTAGGTTGTTTCTTTTTCTTTTTTCTTTTCTCTTTTCCCCGAGTGGGGCCTTGGAAAAGCTTATGAAGATATGAATTGATTTTCTAATTAGCCAAGTTTATTTATACATTTGTTATTTTTCCTTTGCAGGTGTAACACAATGCTTTCATTTTTTTTCTCCAGTCAGCAGTGTGGAAGCTTTCTATTTTGTGGGTACTCCTAAACAGGTTACCTTAAAAAATACTCTCTGTTCAGCCTTTTGTATTATTTTTTTCTTCTGTTTTTTTAAACCCCTTTACTACCATGTATCATATGATCGATGTAGGTATGTAACTTAGTGTACCATCTGACTCACATCGCATTGTGTGTACAATACTGTTGCATCATTTGTCAGATTTGTAAACATGCTGTATACAGACGCAAACTTTTACTTCCAAATGTATAAAGTGACCAGTATATCGTGGCATGTTGTTGCATTGATGGCCTTTTGGGAGCTCTGTGATGAGGTATCCGGCAAGGATGCTCTGATGCTACTGTGATTGAGGCAGGGCTACTTTTGTTTGGAACGAAGCTCAATTCTGTGGCTTCAAAATTGAGAGAGCCCTGGGGAACAAGTATCTAAATTACCTAATACATTATGATACCCAAATTTTCGTGTTAGGGAAAAAGAAAACCGAGATATTCTTGACTGCACTGGACCTATACTGCAGTATCTTAGTTAGAAATATATGAGGTTTTAGATGAGCTCATATATGAACAGATGATACATTGCTACAACAGTTGAGATTTAACGTTATGGATTATTTTTGGGTGAAACTTATGAGAATATAATTGATTTACTAGCAATTATGCATTTTTGCGTGTAGGAGTACTTAAAGGATGCAAGATAATATCTTGTCTTACATTCAGATGTAATTTAACCTAATCTGTGATCGTAGTTGACTATTGATAACATGACACGAATCTGAAATGCTAAAAATTCATGAAATTAGTTTTCTTATTACTAATCTAGTGGCTTAAGTTGTTGTGCCACTGAGTGTTCCATTTCCATCCATGGTACTGCCCAACTCAAGGAATCATCCGTTCTCGCATAGCAACCTTTGGTTTTAAAATCAAGAGTCCTGCTCACCTAAGTAACCGAGAGTGGTGAAATGGGAGCACTAAATTCACTCCCACTCATCAAAGTGATTGAAAATGAGTACATGCGAGCACCAAATTCATCTTACGTTGGAAATCCATGACCCTTTATCAGAATTGAAATGAAGGGACTTGGCGTAGTGGGTTTGCTTTTCTGTCAAGTGATGCACAAATAGTTGACGTTTGGTGAGTTTGTTTTGTGTCAAATGCTGATACTCAGCTTTTTGAGTAACAATATCTAAAGAGGTCATTATTAGCCTTTCATCTCTTTCAGTTAGAAGGTAATGAATTTCAAGGGACAATTCCTCAGTAGTTGAAGTCTTGATAAACAAAGATGTAACAAATACATAGAAGAAAATTGAGGGATTTAATCTCAAGGTTTGTTTTTTCTGTTTTCTTTTTATTTGGGTAGGGGTTATTTTTGGCCTATGATTTGTGCTAGAGGGCATTATCCAGATTACTTATTTGATGGGACAAAATCACTCTCAAAACTCCAACAAGTCTTTTTCCCAGCTTGATTCATCATGTTATTGATTCGTTCATATAAAACCAGCAGCCTCAAAGACTTAGAGATTCAAATCCATGAATCCTATAAATCACACTGAACTAGCAGGACACTTAGATCCATTATAGTTTTCATCACATTCATATATAGGCAGAATATTAGCCTTGTACACTCGGAATCTAATGTAACATGGCGGATGGCATTTTATATACAATGTACAGTAGACAATTTTCAGCAACTTATTAGTTGGTGGCAAATAATATAAATGACAGATTGGAACCAATCTGGTATGTAAAGAGAAAAATACCTAGTCTAGGAACAACACGGTAAGAAGACTCAACCATTTGATGAAAGCTACAATCACTCTTAGCCAATCTTCTCCGTGTTGTCATCAGAGGGCCATATCACAGTCTCGATAAGCCGTTCACGCATCAACTCCAAGTTCTGATCAGAGATTTCTTGATATATTTCGGCATGATTGCATTTCTACATCAAAGTTCATCACCAAAAGAAAAATTATATGTAGTTCTTACAATGTCCAAGATTTTCCATGAGATATGTGCTCTGCATATCGACGAAAAGTGCTTGCGAGAATTTTAGAATTGCTTACCTTGACCCATTTACCATAGAGGTGAAGTCGTGTGACCATTACTCTCTCAGCAAGTTCATGCCTCTCCTGTCAATTAGCAAGGGTTGTATTTCTGTAATTCATACGTATATGTAGCTAAAATAGCATATTTATTAGCATCCAAGCGCCCGTTGTCATAATATCTCTATGTTCGTCAACAATTTTTAACAAGAAGGAATGGTTCGGTGGAACTTTTGCTTTTAATGTCCAACATAACTATAATCTTAAATAAAACAAAAAACAAACAAAACAAAACGTATTTTCTTGCATGAGTTCTAAGCAACCAAAGAATACAAGATTTCAAAGACTACCTTCCCGAGGGTACGGATGAATCGCTTCCCATCTCCAGGATTGTGTGTTGCAACAAAGCTGTCCGAATGGAAAAGGAAGCAGGATTAGATAAAACAGTTCTTAAAGTGATGAACTGAGACATAGGTGCTTTCTAATAAATGCTGGGGAAGAAACTTCGGTACTCCAGGACAGTGCTGCTAATAGTATGCAAATATTAATAAGATGTACTTAAACCCTATAATTTAACTTAAACTGATTGAACACGAGGAGGAAAGGTAGGGCTTAAATTTTCTTATTAAGAGAGAGCCTCTGGATGTATTTTCCAAATTCTTGCATTAGTAAGCTGATCCAACTTAAATTGCCAAGAGCATCCCGGGTCACTAAATCTGACTGTTGTTTCTGGGTGAATAAATATACTTTCAGAATGTTCAGAATATGAAAAAACTTCCCTATCCTAGCTGACCCACAAGCTCATTTTGATCTGAAAGGCTCAGTATTCATCTAAGCCTATATCATTCACAAGCCACAATCACATCTCATCCATTTGTAACAAACAACAACATTGCATGAATAATAACAATGATAATAGCAATACTAATAACAACAAAGTTAATAAAATATGATGTTGAATTCATTTTATGAAAAATGGATAACAATGATAATAGCAATACTAATAACAACAAAGTTAATAAAATATGATGTTGAATTCATTTTATGAAAAATGGTCTGATGATCTCACTTACTCATAAAACCACCTATATTGTGTTGGGTTCATCTCATAAAGCTGGCTCATGACAGTCCTCACAGCCTTGTACGTAAAATAGTTGAGTAGTTGCTGCAGCAGGCAGAGAAATTACAGTCAGCTAATTTACAATAAGATACTAGTCTGTACATGGATCAACATCCGTGTTCATGTATGTAAAAGAGCAAGCATATGGGAGCATACAAAAGATAACAGGATTGCACGATTTAGATTATCCCTATACAGTTTGTATATAGATAACATGATCACTTACAGCAAATGGCATCATATACACAAAATTCAGAAAATGATGTAATTCAAGATCTGAAGAACTAGGTAACAATGCATCTAATTGATAAGTTCATGTTACAACTGTTTCAATATTAGAAAGTCATTACATCAATACTGAATTTCTTACTATTCATTCCGTTCCACGACTTAAATAAAATTAATTTATAGTGCACAGATTTGACATAAACAGCTGATATTCAAAAAAGGGCTTGGAATACACACAAAGTTCATGTGCTAATTGCTTTAAAAAGACGAGATATTCACTGTCACCATTATAATTAGATACTGAGGAACACACAACTCGTATTGAATATCTAAGTTAATGACTGACTCATTCACCAATTGCAAAACTATTGTGTGTAATCACTATGCTCAATATAAAATATCCAGAGTCATGCAGCAAACAAGTTTTGGGTTATAATGGATGAGAATAATATTCTCCTCTTCTTGTTTTTTTTTTAAAGGTTTGTCATATAATTTTTGAGATGTGCAGAGGCATCAATCAGTATTGTGCAAACAAACAGCAACACGTTATGGTCATCTTCCCATATCAAAGGGACTCTAGCAACTACTCAATCTTTTATTCTACACACAAAATCAAACTGCGTAATGCACCAAAAGGGAAGGTGTGGATTCTATAAAAACATATCAACTACATAAACAAAGGGATGCAATATTCAACAAAGGGTCCTCAACACACCAAAACAGCAAAAAATACATCATGTTATCTAAGTAAGAGAGATGAACATATGCAGCATCAATCCTATTAAATTTCTCATATAAACTTCATCCGAAAATTCAACAGGGGATAAGTATCTCACCGTCTTAACATCCTCAAAAGTGTCTTCATATTGCCCGCCAAGTTCATTAACAATCACGAAACTCCTATTCTTTCTTTTCCTCATACTCCTATTGACAATACCCGGAAGAGCTTTCATTGAGAGCCGCTTGTCAAGCCCAGAATCAATAAATGAACTGCTCAATTCCAAGGAACCCGGTTTCACCAAACGCTTCTTGGCCATTGAATTCCTTTGCAAAACAACTTCTCCACCACTCTTGAGATTCATAGCAGTTGTAGGCAGTGCATCCAAACACAAGCATGGACAAGTATGCGAGTCCACGACTGACGAACCCACCACAGACAAAGCCCCTACCATCCTCTCTCAAAAGCTCAAGCTCAAACCACCTTCTTTTTTTTTTTTATGATAAACACAGATCAGAATTATTCTCAAAATCCAAACTTTTTAGCCGGAATTCAGGGAAGTAAGAGATACGCACGAAGTAATGCAAAAATCTGCTAATGGATTTCCAAGAAAATTGGAGATCCGCAATTACAGTCAGAGATACAAGAACTACCAAAAATGGACCCTGGTGAACAAAGAAGGTGTTTTTTTTTTTTTTGGTCTGAACAAAGAAGGGGTTTTAGTGCAAGTAATTTGTGAGAGAATCTCGGAGATTTTGAAGGTGTGTGAACATCAACCAGACAAAAATCTGAGGTCCAAAATACTCCACACAAGACGCTTCGGGATTCAAATCAAACTTTAGCTTCTTCTTTTTTTCACTTTGCTGAATATTCAATTCTCTAATATCTACCCACCTGGACGGTTTCTCCAAATTGGTGGGCTTCCAGCCACGTGGTGGGAGAAGTTGTCTGGCTCGTATTCTACAAGAGTATCTATTTATATTCACCATAGATTAATGGCATGTTCCGAACATAAAGGCCCTATTTGGTTGATGAGAAAGGAGATTTGAGAATGGGAAATCAATTGATTTTTCATGTTTGGTAAGTTCAGGCGTGAGAAATGATTGTTTGGTACATGGAAAAATAGAGGGGAAAGTGAAGTCCTCCTCCTAACTTGGGTTTTGTTTTCCCTCCTCATGGGAAAGTTTGGGAAAATGAGCCAACATTAAATGCGGTACATGGGAAAATAGAGGGGAAAGTGAAGTCCTCCTCCTAACTTGGGTTTTGTTTTCCCTCTTCATAGGAAAGTTTGGGAAAATGAGCCAATATTAAATGCACATTTTTCATGATCATGTTGTCTCCATTAACAATTTAGAATTACAATATATCATTAAATGTATTTTTTTTATTTGATTTAATATGGGTATAATTGAAAATTTATACAAATTTTATTTTCCATTCCTACTCAAAAACAAATATGAGAAAGGAAATAAAGTAATATCTCCCAGTTACTTTCCCGGCATTACCAAACGTGGGAAAGAAACCTTTCATTTCTCTTTCCTTTGGGAAATGACATGAGAAGTTATTTTCCCTCAAATATGTTCTGTGAACTGTTGCGTAGATACCAGCTGCACCAAAATGGATTAAACTGCATCCTCAACTTGTGATACTCGCAAGTGCACGAGCCGTTCGGTAGTATAGCGTATGTAAGTGCGAGGTCGATCCCACGAGGATTGGTGAAGGGCCCTTCACAAAACTTTAAAAAATAATTTGAATAGGAGCGTTCAAGCACTAACCGATTAATACATTAATACGATACTAACTACTTAGTTTAGCCCACTTCATAATATCATTTCATATTGATTAATAATTTATCCATTCATTACAATCATAATTGCCTTTAGTTTCATATTCTAATCTCATCATCTACACTATTAAAGACTCAAAAGTTAATAATTTATATTCCAACATAGAGAAGAAATACAAAAAAATTTCATAAATCCTATGAAGGTACCCTACTCAGACATGTAAAAAAGGACGGAAAAAAATTCGCAACTTAAATTAAACAAAAGAGGAGGAGAAAGAAGAAAAAAAAAAGAGTTTCTAGTGCAACTATCATAACCTAACCTAAAATATTAGAGAATGTAGAAGAGTGATTAAGAAGTTTTATGGTTAATTTGTAGACAAAAAGAACCTAATATATTATTTATTTTAGAGTAAATATCCCAAAAATAATCTAATATATTATAATATTATATATCATATATAATATATAAATACAAGGGATATAAAGATTGAGGGGGCTCGGGACCACTCTGGTCCCTACATGGCTCCGCCCCTATTAGGTTCAAACCCCAGAGACACCTCTCTCGGGCTCTGTCCCCCTTTCAAACTTTGACACCCCAAAAAAACACTAAGAAATCAAATGAGAATTGTAAAGTTGTAAGGTTATTTTTTGGAAGGAAGAGGAAGAATATGAATGGGAATTAGGTCAACAACTCCCTAGTCGATCTAATTTTTGATTTGAGAGTGTGTGATTACAAGGCGGCGAGACTACAAAGAGACGTCGAGGTGGGAACCAAATTGGTCAAGCCAACCATTCTGAATCCGTGTCTCAGTAGCCGACAATGGTTCACAAGGAGGGCAAATTTTCTTATTTATTTCTCACTAAAATTTGCTTATTTTTCTTTATTAAAAAAGAAAAAGAAAAAAGGAATTTTTTTTTTCATTAATAAACTGGCGATGCCATTTCTTGGCAGATCCCGACCGTTCAATAGATCGAAGGGGGGAGATATTAGCTCCGCATTAGAAACGCAACGCATCACAACGTTCCTCTCGTTCTCTCTCTCTCTCAGTTAGCCATCGTCTCCAGGACTCGATCCCACAGGTGGAAAACGCCGTCGTTTTCTGGTGAAACAACAGTCAGTGGTGAGAGAAGCAAGGATGGTTGATCGTCTGTTCGAGGATATATTTCAGATTCTGCGACTGAACCCAGATGGCAAAAAGTTTGATAAAGGTATTTGCAAGTGTAAAAATTCTTATACAAAATTTTTCAAGATGGTTTTTTTTCTCTTGTTTCGTTAATTTTTTGGTACTTGGTAGTTACTCGAATCGAAGCAAAGAGTGAGACTTGCGAGATGTTCATGCACCTAGATGTGAATTCAGAGGTATATCCCATGAGGGAAGGTGAGAAATTCTCAATGGCTCTAACTTCCACAATCAATTTGGATGGAACACCTGATACTGGCTATTTCACTCAGGTAAACTTCTATTTATTCCTTTTCTTAATTTTTTTTAATGTTGCTTATGGGGTAATTCCCTGCTTGTTTGTACTGTATCTTTACTGGAAAAGTGTGACATGTATGAAAGCATGTACCTTGTGGATGGAGTGTACTGTTGAAAAGAATTCACAAGTTGGGTTATTAGCTTGAGAGTTATCAGGGTTTTTAGCACAAATGGCAGAACTGGGATTTTCATGAAACCCTATTTTTTGGACCTCCATTCTTTGTCTATTCAGGGTTATTTTTTTTTAGAAAAAAAGAAAATTGTTATTTTTGGGTTCTCTAGCAGTTTCTATATGTCATGGCTATCTTGTCTTGATAGGTTACTCTGTTTGGTGCTTCTTAGGTGGTTTCTGAAGGGGGAAGTCATCCTTTAACATTCAGGAAATGTCCAAATTCTTTGTAATAAATAATTAATGATTGACAAAGTCCATTTGGAAGTGGAACACAAATGATGTGGTTGATTTAGGAGGCCGGTGAGAATGTCATGTGGGTTTGGTATGTGAAAGGACAATAGGAGTGTGGGATGGCTTGAGATTGAGAGTTTGGACAAATTATGGCGTGGTGACACTCTTCTTTGAGATTCATTCTTTGTTTTGATTAGCAAAGGAAGCTCTCTTCTTTGAGTTGGATCTGGGATCTTAATTTCATTAAAAAGTGGAGGGTGGAATACTTATGCAGGGTAATTTATTGGGTGAAAGTAAGGGGGTGCTTTTTTATTTATTTTATTATGCTGGAGAAGCTGCCCTCTTCATAGATGTCTTTTTCTATTAGATCTTTTTATTGGGCTTTAGTGGGAGCAGAATCTATTTTCATTAATAGAAGATCTAGTGTTCTAAGTTCCTCATTAATACTGTTTTTTGGATGGATGGCACTATAGAGAAACTGCAATGAGTCAAATAACTTGATTTTAGGGGAAAATTTACGGTGAGGGCTGTTACATTGCAAGTGGCAGACTTGGTTGACCAACTGCTGTTACACTCTTGTGTACATGGATTTAACTTATGGGAACTTGCGTTCTCATGATTTGGCATTTCATGTATATCATTGGACATTGTTTGAGCTCCTTTCAGTGTGGCATGCCATTTTGTTTTAAGAAGGATGATGTAGTTTGGACTTTGGAGGCCTACCTCTTTGTGTGCCATGTGTTCTTTTTGATTGGAAAGGAACATTAGTATTTTCAAAGTTGCAGATTGGGGCCACATCTTGAGTTTTGTTATTTATGTGAACGCCTTCTTTTTTAGATATTTTTTTTGCCTTTAGGTTTCTTTTCTTCTTGCCTTCAAATAAAAATTTTCTTAAATGGAAAAACAAGCCAATACCATGATGTCACTTCAAGTTGGTAATAGTGTCTACCTGTATTCAATCATATATCTGAAATGCATATATTATAGCTTATAGGTCAATAAATGACGAGGGCCATCTTTGATAATGACAAATTGACAACACCTTGAGAAGATGATTCTGAGGATGGTTATGTGTTCCATGTTTTCTTGACATAGCTTAGCTGTAGCTGTTTCTGTTTGGTTGTTTACAAAATCATTGAGCCAGATTACGCCTAATTAATAAAGGTACCCTTTTTTGCAGGGCAATCGCAAGACATTGGCCGATGAATATGAATACGTCATGCAAGGGAAGCTTTTCAAAATTTCAGAAGGTTCTAAACGTGATCCTAAAGCGTAAGTAATAAAAAAAAAATCATTTATTAGGATCTACAAGTGTGCTATTTGATTGTATGTTTGTGAAAAAAGATGAAGAAAATATCAAATGTAGGTATCATGAAAGTGGCTCTTCTGAGTTGGTATAAGCTGACGTGAATTTGATGAAGTCCACTTACAAGGCATCATATCCCCTACAACTATGACTCAGATCCTTGTTATTTCTGCAACATATTGTGGAGGATAATGATGTCAATCATATGACAGTCATTTGCTCTGATTGCTTTTCATTCAGGAAGACAAATTATTGGGGTTTAAGTAAAACTTTATGTCATGTTAACTGAGAATGTCTTTTTTATCGTTCTCTTCTAATTTTCTTGTATTTGAGTTCAGGGAGGTAAATGCTTCATTTGGTGGCCTTTTGATGATGCTGAAGGGGGAAGCCTCTCAATTCAAGAACTTTGAACTTGATCAGAGGATGTTTCTCCTCATAAGGAAGCTATGAGACTCTTGACAGTATCCAACGTGGAATGGTCTACAGCTCTCTCCTAAGAGGAACATTTTTAGGCTTTTCTTATGTAAACTTGTGCTGAACCTTGACGGTTCCGATTAAGCCTGTGTTGAGTAGAGGGCTCCCTGACTAAACTTGAGGTTGCTACATAATTCTCAAGGGTAGTGTGTACGCATGAAATGCTATCACATTGACTTTAAAATTTATGTTGTCAAAATTTAACTCCTGCTAAGAGCCCATGATCTTTGTGTGGCTCATGAATAGTAATAACCATTCTAGTGCACCCCAAATGTGTTTTTTTTTTTTTTTGAGTTTTTCTATTTAAACTTCATTCTTTTCTTTGTTCATCCCAATACTTAAATTATTAAACTCTTAATTTTTATTATTATGTAAAAAGACAAAAGAGGTCATCCCTC